TAATTATCATCAAGTTACACTTAATATAACTAACACAGACTTTTCTAAAATTTTTTCGTTCGACGATGTCTATTCCTAGACACGTTAATCTCTATAATGAAAAGAAATACCATTTGTTTCACAATTCCATGCAGACAGCGAAATATAAAGCCAAAGGGACCGCATTCATAAAAACGTCAAACGCAATCCCAATAACATGATACTGGAAAAACTTATAAACGTTACAGAAATTTTTGTACTAATCTTGTTAAAAATCTCAAGAGAGACTACGAGAGATCTGAATTTGCTAAGGCTAAGAAAAGTCCTAAAAAAACATGGGAGATCATTAAAAACGTTACTTATACAAATAAAGTAACCAATCCACCATTAGAACTTTTAAATTAGCACGATGATGCTAAAGTATCTGTTGATGCCGTAAATTCATTTTTCGCAAATATAGGGAAAGAACTTGCAAATAATATGAAAACAAATTTAAAATTAACTGACTTACCGTCTAACTTCATGCACTCTCCATCACATTCTATGGTTATCCTCGAAATTGATGAAGACGAAGTACATGATGCTACTATGAGCCTACAAAATGACAGTGCTGTCAGGTGGGATGGTATACCATCCCAAATTTTTAAATCAAGCCCAGTTCTTACATCTATCATTACCCACCTATGTAACTTGGCGGTATCCACTGGGAAGTTTCCTATCGCCGTGAAAAAGGCAATTGTACATCCCATTTATAAAAGTGGAGACAGAGGCAATGTCTAAAGTATTTCAGCGTATCCTAAATCGCCATTTAGTTCGCTTTCTTGAATCAAATTAGGCAACTTTACATCCTTCGCTCCGTTCTGCGTCTACATTCAACTGTACCTCCGTATAGTTCTTCAACGCCAAGGAGGCGTCAAAAAACCACATGTCCTATCAAAACATGTAGGACTTCTTTTGCTAAAAAGCAAGTATTCTTCTCAAGCTCGTGGTTATACAATAAACTCTACAAAAAGTTACACATAAATAAGTTCAATGTCTATGAAGTTAAAAAAAAGGAAATTTCGTACCTTCATTAATTAAATTATAATGCCACTGAAGCTTTAATATCCTAAACTTACAAAATGTACCCAGTAACACGCACACTAGACACGCAATCACTTTCACACATACACACACAAACACACACACACACACACACACACACACACACACACACACACACACACATTATGCCATACATATTCATCACCGAACTATTATTTTTCTTTAACTGTCTGTTCTTAAAGTTCTTACCATAATGTAATCACCAATTAAATCAATACGCTATGCTGTTTTAAAGAATATCTTGTAAAGAGCCGAACCACTGACTTTAATAACACAGGTTAGCCTAGCATGAAAGTCAGGGGATCAACTTATTTCTATGTCATTTAGGCTAGCCATCTTGTTACAAATTATTTACAATAACTTTGTATTAAGTTTAAGGCTTTATTTGTCAATAAAAATTATTATTATTGTTATTATTGCCCATCATGTATGATTTTAAGCCTTTCGGTTCTTAAGGAACTGGGAATTAATATTTGTTAGTTTTAAAATATAAAGCCAACTACTCTCATAGACCAATAATATTTTAAATTATCTTTAATATTTCGTTTATATTCCGGCCAACCCTAATTTATATACTTCATAAAAAGTTTTAAGTTATTTTCTTTTAAATTCTCATAATTAATTATACTTAATTTTTTATGTGAAACGGGCATGTCAGATACTAATATAAGTACGTGATATAATACATTATCACTCACTTTATCATTAAATAGTTCTGGAATAGGGGCACGTGATAATATATCGGCCAAGTACATATATTTCCAAGCTTATATGTAACTATCAAATCATAACATTGTAATCGTAAAACCATTCACTGTAATCGTGCTGGTATCGAATCTAAGGACTTTTTAAAAATGTTTTGTAACGGTTTATGATCTGTTTCAATTAAAATATCAATTTCACTGTAAATATATTGGTGGAGTTTTCTACACGCAAAGAGTCTAGCTAGCATTTCTTTTTCTATCTGCGCATATCATGCCTGTGTACGTGAAGTATATTCAATAGGTCTACCGCCCTGCAACAGCACGGCTTCTAGCACTACACTGTTCGCGTCCACCGGGACTACAGCCGGTTACGATACGTCATTTAAAGCCAAAACGGTTGCTTTGCTTATTAAATCTCTTAATAAATCACCTGTTGTAATAAAAAATCTCATTTGTTCACTCTCGCAACGCCATTCTGTATCCTTTTTCAATAGTCGAGTAAGCGGCCAAATACGCTCATAATACTTAGGTATAAACTTAAATAAATAATATACGGCTCCTAAAAATCGTTCTAATAATTTTAGTTCTTTTGGAGTTGGCAGAAACAGAAATAAAAACTTTTTTATTCAATATAGATTATAAATAATACTTATTGACATTCACTCTTTTGTTTAATTACCACTAGTTTGAAATAAATACCTCTGTCCTGGGAAGAACCAGCAAGAAACCCAGCGGGCATTTTTAAAAAAAATAACAGCTTACAATTATGTATGTTACACAAATTAACAACATAACAAATTAGAAATAGCTTTGTAGTGATCACCTCATTTCCAGGGCTTATTATCATCCATAAATTATTTAATATTATAATAACCCTTTTTATACAAACTTAGTTTAATAGAGTTTATGAACTTTGATAAGATAACATTTTGTATATTTTCTGGAATTTTGTTGTAAAAGCATATACATCGCCCCAAGAATGAATTACTGACGCGATGGAGTCAAGTAACTGGTACTACTAGGTTGTGGCTGTTCCTAGTATTTACAGAATGAATATCACTTATTTTTGTAAAACTACTTTTTCTTTTGTGTTATTGTGAAACCATTTTTGTCGCAGGGACTCTTTAGGCTTTACACCATAAATTGCTCTTATGGCCCTCTTCTGCAAAACAAATATAATTTCAGTGTCAGCCGCGTGTCCCCTTAGTAAAATACCATACGACATTATGCTATGGAAATAGCTAAAGTAAACTAGGCTAGCTGTGTCAACACTGGTAAGACTTCTAATATTTTTTACAGCATATGCTGCAGAACTAAGTCAGCTTGCTAGTTTTGATATATGGGAGCTCTAGCTTCCCGTCTAGTGTAATTCAAAGAAAAATGGTGGTATCTACAACACTCAGTTTCTCTCCATTTAAAATTACATTAGTATTTAATTGTTTGGCATTTGGAGTCATGAATTTTATAAATTTCGTTTTAGTGCCATTTAAATGCAAAATATTAATATTGAACCAATTTACTAATTTAGATATAGCATTATTTACTTCGTCATATTTTAGTAATTGTCGACTTAATTTGAAAATTAAAGAAGTGTCATCTGCAAAAAATACTATATCATGGTTATCCCTTACTAGAAACAGAAAGGGGCCGACAATTGAGCCTTGAGGCACGCCCATTTGTACCATCGACTCTGAAGAGCTCATACTGTTAATAAAAACTTTTTGCGTTCCCTTACTTAAATATGAAATAAATAATTTAAGAGCATCACTTCTTACACCGTAGTGTTGAAGTTTCCTGATTAATATTTCATGGTGAACACAATCGAAGGCCTTGGATAGGTCACAAAATATACCCAAAGCATCCTGTGAATGCTCCCATGCATTAAAGATATATTTGAGTTAAACTTTATGTGTTAATGTTTTAGATATAATAGCATTCCTCGAAGAGGTGGAGACCTGGTGACCTGTAATACGGGTATTTTACCCACCATAGGCGATCCACGGCCAAAGTTGTTTTGTACTACTTATATGCTACTTTTAACTCTAAATGTAACTTTGTTTGTGGTGAGAAATAAACGTTATTATTATTGTTATGGGGGTTATCTATAAAGTTTTCTCATCTGGTTGGGCCGTTTAAATATATAATTGTAAACGAAATATATAAACATACATAAATATCAATAAAATAGAATAAATACATTAAAAATACATAAATATATAAAAACCCAACCAGATGGAAGCCCTCGGCAGGGGAGATCAAACGGCCGAGGGTTAGTGGGAAAGGAAAAGAAACCGGCGGACGATGCGGGCGGTATCGAGGAGCACCGCCTTCTGCATTTGAGCTTGGAGCGGTCCGTCACGGAGTCCCAGTCACCTCAGATGACCCGAGAGGCTAACTGGGATTAACCCGTTCGCAGAAACGACCACAGGAATAATTTCGGCCGGCAGACCACCCCACATGTCGGTCACCTCGTGAGCCAGGTCCAGATATTTTGTCAGCTTATCTGTTTCGGCTTTCACGAGGTTCTCGTCATAAGGAATGGTAATGTCGACCAAAAATATCCTTGATTGCGTCCGGTCCATCAGCACAATATCAGGCTTATTCGCAAGAATAGTCCTGTCTGTGATGATGGCCCGGTCCCAGTAGAGCCTGGCGCGGTCATTTTTGAGCACGGCTTCCGGCAAGTACTTATAATATGGCAGTTTTCGATCCACGAGACCGTATTTCAGAGCGAGCTCCTGGTGTAGAATCCTGGCTACTAGGTTGTGTCTGTGCAAATACTCAGAGTTAGAAAGCGCCAAACAACCGGAGATGACATGCCTAAGTGACTCACCGGGATGGCGACAAGCTCGACAGATGTCGACGGTGCCATCCTTTAGGATGTATCTCCGATAATTTTTGGTCTTAATAACCTGATACTGTATTAAACAGACAAAACCCTCAGTTTCCCCAAAGAGGTCGCTGAAACGTAGCCAGTGGAGGGAGGCGACTGTGTCTACGAAAGGCTCATGAAGGGCCTTGTAGAACCTCCCGTGGAGCTCCTTCTCCTTCCATACGGTCTCCCGGTCGGAAATGCTCTGTACTGCCGGGTATTGCCATTGCTCGTTGGCTAAGGATAGAGGGGTTAGTCCTTTATCACAAAAAATAACGTCCCTATAGTATGGATCATCCGCTCTCGTCAGAAAGTAATTACGGAGGCTGCACACTTCGCGATTATGCATGATAAGCGCGCTTGAAAAGCCGCGCCCACCATGCTTCCGCGGCAAGTACAGCCTCATTACTGACGATCTCGGATGATGCACCCTGTAGGTCGTCATTATAGTGCGGACTTTTCTGTCCAGAGCATTCAGTTCGGTCTGAGTCCACCTGAGTATGCCAAAGGTATACATGAGAACAGGCATGATCCAACCGATATATGCGTGCGTCTTATTCACACTGGACAAAAGGCTATTAAGCACTTTGGTCAAGCGTGCATAAAATACATCGCAAACTGACCGTTTCATACCCGCCTCATCTACACCGATGTTCTGTGACATACCCAGGTATCGGTATGTTTCAGCCTCGGAAAGGGTCCTTATGCTGATGGGCATAGATAAGTCTATGCCCTCAGAGTTAGCAACCCTTCCCCCTTCGACATGGAGGATCGCACTCTTATCCGTCCCCAGCTCCATTCTAATAGAATTGCTAAAATCACAAGTGATGTTTAGCAATTCCATAAGATGAGAGCGACTGGAAGCGAATAATTTAAGATCATCCATATAGAAAAGGTGGGTCACTTTTGTACCTCCTCTCCGAAGCTGAAATCCCCTCCCGGAGCCCTCCAGTAAGGTACTGAGAGGGTTCAGAGAGAGGCAGAACCAGGTTGGACTCAAACAATCGCCCTGGAAGATACCCCTTCTTATCCTTATGTGGTTCTCCGCAGCCGTCATCCGCTCGCCTAGATGACAAAGGATCGTACTCCATTGCCCCATACACTGCCCGAGGAAGTCTCGAACTGTACAGTCAGCGTTGTACAGCTCGAGGACCCTCTTAAGCCATGTATGAGGCACCGAGTCGAATGCCTTTTTGTAGTCTATCCAGGCGGTGGAGAGGTTCCGACGGTTGCGTTTAACCACCTTGCCAATGACTGCGTCAATGAGGAGTGGGTCCTTGGTTCCACGACCACCGCCCCGACATCCATTTTGAGCGCGCGACATCACCTGGTTTGAGTTCAGGTGACGAATGATTCTCGCGCTCAAAATGGATGTTAGTGTCTTGTATATGGTAGGTAGACACGTTATGGGGCGGTATTTGCTCGGGTCTGTGGAATCCCGGTCCTTAGGAACCAAATGAGTGATCCCAGTAGTGAAGAGTCTCGGAAGCGACTTTTGGTCGAGAGCCTCTTGAAACTGTCGGGCGAGCACAGCGTGACACACCATGAACCCCTTCAGCCAGTAGTGATGCAGTCCGTCGAGTCCCAGACTTTTCCAATTCGGGGCCCTACAGACCGCCTCAGCTACGTCATCCGGCGTTATGAGGACGGGGTCCATGGGCGTAACATTCGCACACTGACTCGCCACAACTTCCGTCCAAGGGCCCTCGCTGTGGTTTACGGGCTCTGACTACAGGCCGCGCCAGAATGCGATAGTGTCGGCCTGATTCGGTGCTGGGCCCGTGCCACGTACCATTGGTCGCTCCAGTGATTCATAGAGCCTCTTATGATCACTCTGGAAGAGACGATTCTGGTTGAACCGTGTCGACCTCTCGGTATATCGCCGAATCCGCTTCCCTCAAGCAGCGATTCTCTGCTTCAGGTCGTCTATGTGCTCCGTCAGTTTTTGCGTTATATCCGGCTGTGACAAACTGATGTTTTTCCATCCTGATGGTGCGCACAATTCTCGACCTATTATTGCCCGACCTGAAGCTTATCAGCCTGCCGATGAGGGCCCTTACCTTTGCGATACGGTCCTCAATCCTTCTTCTCCAGGCTGGGATGGCGCAACTTTGTCTAGTAGCGCGTCCAGCCGTGGGAACTTTGGCGCCAATAATGCGGCAAACTGCCAGTGCGGCGCCAAAAAGAATTGAGTCCGTCTCGCAAAGGTCCCGGCTGGCTTCCAAATAGGTCACCAGAATTGGGTTGAGAGCGCTCACGACAGCCCGATTCCGCTTGCTTAGGGGCATGCGCGGGAGTCGCGGTCGATTTTAGAGAGGCATACTGCGCGTTTCCAAAATAGCCTCTTCCAATGTACTCCTCATTTGCTCTAGTTCTAGTTCCTGGGCGACTGTTCCATCATCGTCTGAATCAACAATAACTGAAAGATTCACGGCGGCATCCACGTGTGCTGGTTGCTCTGCATTTTGTGGCGTCGCATCCTCAGCCGTAGCATTGTCATCCAATGAGGGTACAGCCTCACGTCACGTTATTATTATTATACTTACTTACTTACTTATCTTCACGCACAATCCCTGACGGGGTAGCCAGAGAGAACAGATCGCCAAGTGTCACGATCCTTACAAACCTCTTTCGCTTCTTTCAGATTCATTATCTTCTTCATGCATGCACGTCTAGGTATCTGAGTACTTTTGACCCTACCCTCTTCGAGCAATTTGCTCACATGGTCTTCGAAAGTTAGTCTCGGTCTACCTCGACACCTTTTAATATTAACTTTCGCGCTATATATTTTCTTCACCATTCGGTCTTCACTCATTCGCTCAACGTGCCCAAACCACCGAAGCACGCCCTTATCAATTTTTGTGATAAGGTCATCTTTCAAACCTGCCATATTGCGAATCTCTTCGTTTCGCTTTCGGTCGGCCATGGTAACGCCGCACATTTTACGAAGAGATCGCATCTCCACTGCATTCAACTTACTTTTATGCTTCTTCTGGCATACCCAGGTTTCGCTGCCATATAACAAAGTCGGTACCAACACTGCGTTATGTATTGCAAGGCGTGCACTCTTCGCTACGCCTTGCCTTTTGACTAACGCAGTCAGGGCACCATTGACTTTGTTCCCGGCAGCGACACGCCTGTCCACATCTAAATCACATCTTCCATCCCGGCTAAAAGCACTCCCCAAGTATACAATTTCATTTACCTGTTCTAGACATTCCTGATTTACCCATATTTCACACTTCGTTCTCTCTTCGTCCCTTTCAAATACCAGAACCTTAGTTTTATTAGCATTCAAACGGAGACCTTTAGTTTCATATTCCTCTTTCATACACGTGACTAATGCCTGCAGTTCTGCCTCTGATGGTGCTATAAGTACTGCATCATCAGCATACAACAGACAATTTACTTTAATGTCACCCAATTTCACACCCAAACAGCTATCTTTCAGCTTCTGTAAACAGCTGTCGAGATACAGTATGAACAGCCAGGAAGACATGACACAACCCTGCTTTACGCCCGTTTGGACGTCAAACATGGGTGACAGGTCATGTCCTACCCGCACACAGGCTTTACAGTCACAGTAAAGAGACTGCACAGCCCTTAGCAATCGACCATCCACACCATACCCCGGCAACAGTTCCCACATTTTCTTCCTTACAACCTTATCAAATGCTTTCTCAAGATCCACAAAAGCACAGAAAATCTTCTGGTTAGCAGCCAGAAGCTTCTCCGTGATCATGCGGAGAGAAAACATTTGATCCGTGCATCCTCTTCCAGGTCTAAATCCGCATTGTGCCTCCCATAGAAATCTTTCCGATTTCTCTTGCATCCTACGTGTCAATACCTTCGAGTAAACTTTACTTGCTAAACTGGTCAAGCTGATCGCCCGATAGCACCCGCAGTCAAAATGTGAACCTTTACCTTTATATAAAGGCACAATGACTGCGGATCACCAATCATCCGGGACATCCCCCGTCTGCCAGCACAAATTGCACAGCAGATGAAAGCTGTCCCAGACGCGAGGCCCACCATACTTGACCATTTCAGCAGTAACTCTGTCTAGTCCCGCAGCCTTACCACATTTCAAACTTCGAATCGCACGTTCAATCTCTTTCATACTGATGACCTCAGTGTCATCGAGGCCCGGTTTTGGCGTACCAGTCACGGCGTCATCCCCGGATCCCTCACTAAGGTCATCACACGCATACATTTCTCTATAAAATTCGCTCCATCGCTGCATGACGTCCGATTTTTCTGAGAGGACGTCATTAGTTCTCGAAAGCACTTTGTTCATTCTTAAGGCCGTCGCACCACTTCGGGTCCTTCCAACCTCTTTCCAGAAGAGTTTGGAGTTCTCCTTAAAGTTTTGCGACAACCTTTCGTCCGCTTCCATTCTACACCTTTCACGCACTTCCTCAATCAGTGCTTTCGTGTGAACTTTCTGCAGCCTATATCTTTCTTTCATCTTCTCTCTCATATCCTTATCATTACTAGAGGCCAAGTAGTCTAACCATGCTTTCTTCTTCTTCTTTACAGCTTCTTTCACTTCATCATTCCACCATGCATCTCTTCTTTTACTACTGCCTCTTTTTATTGTTTCACACACTTCTTCCGCTGCACTTACCATTCCATCCCTAAGGTTCTGCCAAGTTATTTCTACACATTCTTTTCTGCCATCGATGGTGTCAAGCTTTTCGGCTACCCTCGCATGATATTTGTCCCTAGTATCCGCTTCCTGAAGCTTCCAGCTTCGGATGCGACAGACCGACTGTGGTTCTGTTACTGCCGTCCGGTAGCGCCAACCCGCGAACAGACCCCTAAATCTAGTAATCACTAGATAGTGATCCGTTCCCAGGTCAGCACCCCTGAACACTCGCGTATCCATCACCTGTTTTCGCAGTCGGTCATCCACCAGGAACAAATCAATCATACTTCTCTCATTCTTTCGTTCTCTAGTATACATATGGATTTTCTTGTGATTAAACATAGTGTTTGTCACAAGAAGACCCTTTTCCTTGCACACCGCCAGTATAAGCTTGCCAGCATCATTAACCCTTTTATCGCCAAACTTTCCAAGTACCGACTCGTACCCTGGTCGAGCGGTACCAACCCATCCATTCAAATCACCACATACAACAATTCTTTCGTTTCCTCTAGCCAAATCTAGAACTTCTCTTACATTCTCCCAAAACTCCTCCAGCTCAGCCCTGGACGACGAAGCTACCGGCGCATAAACAGCCAAAAGGAATAACATCGTCAGTCCCAATTTAAAGCGAACCCAGAGAAGTCTTGAGTTCACAACCTTATATTCATTCATAACATCGACCAACCGAGAAGACAGCAGCACCCCCACTCCCTGGCAGGCGCTCTCGCTCTCCGGGACTCCTGACCATAGAGCTAACGCCCCGCCAGGGAGCTCTTCAGTACCACTGCCCTTCCGTTTGGTCTCCGACATACACACGACATCTAATTCTCTTTCTTTCATTATTTCGATCAACTCATTCGTCTTATCTCTCATGCCTCCTCTAACATTCCACGTGCCAACTCTGCACTCTGTCCTCCACCTTCTTATTATTATTATTATTATTTAATCAGCTCAACACCGGCATCAGTTGTCGAGCGACCCCTTGTGAAACCAATTTGATTTTTATGAAGTAAATTATTATATTAAAGAAATTTAACTAAATCTTACTAAATGTTGGTAGTACAGAAACAGGTCTAAAATTGGCGGGGTCTAATGTAGTACCAGATTTAAATAAAGTATAACTTTAGTACTCTTCATTAAATCAGGAAATACATCAGATTCGATACTAGTATCAAAAATAATAGCTAAATGAGGCGCGATTGTATCTATTATAGACGCAATAACTTTAACGGAAATCCCCCACAGATCCGCAATTTTCTTAACATCATAGTCATAGTTTTAAAATATTTTACAATATCTTTTGATGATACTTTATGAAATGTTAAATTCTTTGTACACGCATTTAAATTTTGTTTAAGTAATGATTCGGCGACGGCAGGAGAAGAATTCAGTGACTTAGTGGTTAATATCGGAATATAAGTAAAATATTTCTCAAAAACCATTGCTACGTCCTAATCTGATTCAGTTCATTTGTTGTTAACACTTAACTGGTAGTTTAAATTGCGAGTGTTGATCTTACCAATTTCGCTATTAATTTGTCATTTTAATTTTATTAGAGGTCGTCATAATTTTGTTGCTCAAATGCAAAGACTTGGCTGTGGAGTACACTCTTTTAAATATTTTAATTTTTTTTATATATTCCCTAAATTCGACACTATGATTATATGACCTCTCATGGTAAAGATCATATAACCTATGTCTGCTCTTATGGACTCCTACCGTCGTCCATTCATTGAATGACTTCCGATTGTTCAAGGTGAATATTGTAGAAGTAAAATTACTATTAAATTAATTGCAAATAAGCTTAAATAATGTTCCAAACAAATAATTAGGATCATTTTGGTATGAAAGTGATGGAGGTTTTTTCACTATGTTACTTCTTAATTTCTCCAAGCGACGTGCATTTACTGGAACAAACACAACTTTCTTATCTACTTGATTTTTGTAAACATAAGGTAACGATACTACTTGTCAACAGTGATCAGAACTTACTTTTTGAATTATACATT